CAGGCCAGGCAGCATCAGAGGAGCAGGAAAGCTGACATTTTGGGTGTCGACCCTTCATCAGACCCAAAACATCAGCTTTCCTGCTCCCCTGATGCTGCCTGGCCTGCTGAGTTCCTCCAGCTCCACACTGTGTTATCTCTGACACCAGCATCGGCAGTTCCTGCTATCTCATCAAGTTTTCAAGAACTTAAACTCAGAAATGGCTGCAGGACTTGCCATGACCACAGATCCTAATTTTCGATCATCTGTGGACATTTTGAACTTTGTATTGCAGCATTTATCTTTTGGCTGTATCTCATCTTACAAAATAACTGTGGATGTAGATGCAGTGGCTAACTGGAGAGGAAACTTGGAATGTTACATCTGAAGGCTTCAAGGAAGTTTCAAAGTGAGAAATGCACTAAAAACTAAACTGTCATCTCCTATGAGGTTCTCAGATTGTGAACATGATCGGAACCATGACATCAGTCTGGCTGCAAGACATGTTTACATTTGTTTTCCCTCTCGAGAATACACAAACAGTTTAAAAGTGAGTTTCAACTGTGGTCTGTGTGCACACTAGTCGGAGGAAGTGTGCTGTGAAATTAACAGTCAAAGAACCATCCTGAATCACCCTACATTAAAAGGAACGGAGTTACTTGTTCTGAATGCTGGAAGCCAGTTAGTGAATCAGTTCAAAGGAAATGGACAAAAGAATTTTAGCTAACCTGCAAAGCCAAGAATTTCAAAGCGAAGTGCTCAACTATCAACATTCGACTATTTACTCTTCACTATAAACTGCTCTGTATCCCTTTTTAACTTTGATTTTTTTTTTGGACTTATTTCTGTGTGAATATGTATTGCATTATTGTTTCTTCCCATGTTTAGTAACTGCTAAACTTATTTTTCACTATGATTATTGCTATTGAGACACATTTCCAAAGATTTCAATTGATTCTTATTAAAACCAAGGGACCTAGAGAGCAATATATTTGTGTTGCATTATTTTCAATAGCAATGTTTTCAAGATCCTTTTGAGTGTATTTCAGCAAAAATATATCACAAGGCTGAACTATCAATGATATCTATAGTACAGAATTATACTTCCTGTAATATGATAATTGTTTTTGAAAGTGGAAATCATCTGTCCAAATCTTCTGCTTTCTCGATTAAAGAAATGGTCAAATTTGAAAAGAGGAACAATAGGGATAAGTCAAGTGCTTTTTTTCCCCTGTGGTCTTTGGAAGCTATTTGTTTGAAATAATATAAGTTTGCCAAACTGTCAACCCTCTGCACACGACACCAATATTTATTACAGAATTTGATTGAAGAGTTGATCTGACTACATTTGTGTCATACAAGTTGAGTTTTTTTTATTACCACGCATGTATGGTCACTCAGATAAAATGTAAAAGCATTAAAAAAAAATTGGCCGCCTACTACAAAATTTTAGAGGGAAAGTTGTTGATGACACTGCTACACAGTTAGGGTTTAAATACAGCAGCTTCTTCAAGGTGATGTTGATAAACCTACACACAGATCAGATGTCATCAACAATGTCATTATTCATTTGGTGGCTGAGTTAGTAATGTCACTGGGCTAGCAAAACCAGGGCCCAGACACGTCTGACCATGGCATCTGCTGGAATTTAAATTCCAGTTAATAAAAACTTCTTAAAAGTTTTTGAAAGTTAATGTGAGCAACTGTGGCTATGAAATTCCATCAATTGTTGTAAAAACCCATCTTTGATACTACCCTTTGGGAAAGGAACTCTGTGATTTGACCAACCCCCCAAATGCTCCCTGCTACTGCCACCAGGCCTGATCCCCCACATCACTGGTATTGGACCATGCCATTACCCGATCAAACCCCTCAACCTCCTTCCTGCTGCCAGACCGGACCACCAATTCCCAGTCCCTGCCAGACTGGAGCCCAACCCACCCTCCTACAAACCACCCTGCCAACTGCCAGGGCTCAACACCCACTCTGACTTACTATAAACACCTACCTGTCACCTTGCCATCTGGCACCCTGGTATCCTACTCAACTGGCACCCTACCTTTACTCCAGCTGCCACACTACTCGTCTGGCATATTACCACCCTACTCATTTGACACCATAATCTCCTAGCAACCTAGCATCACATTTATCTTGTAGATATTTTCTAATCAGCCTGTTCAGAGATGTTGTTACACACTCTGGAGCAGGTGGGATTTAAACCTCAGCCTTCTAGCTCAGAGGTAAGAGCATTACCACTGTGCCACAAGAACCCTCATGCATGCCTTACAAACTTAACCTTTCACAAAAGCTGTCAAAGTGGCTGTCAGGATCTTTTTTATATTTTCAAAAGATGGCAAATGACTGCTGTGAAACTGGGTTTGCCTTCCTCTGACAGCACTACACTGCAAAAGAAATGGCACAATAGAAATATAGCTCTGTATTTCTGAGAGACCCCTGAGGAGAATCTTCTCTCAGAAATGTGGCGTTTCCTTCATTTGTAAAAAGGAAGAGTTGTCCCTGGAAATTCTGGCCCAATGTTTCAACTGTCTCCACAGATGCTGCTAGACCTGCTGAGTTGCTTCAGCATTTTCAGTTTTTGTTTCAGGTTTCCAGCCTTATTTAGCTTTCATTCCATTACATTAACAACCACGGTGTGGAACAAAAAGCATCATCTTGCATTTCCATCTCTTGCAAAATGCTTTCAACTTGGGACTGCTGGTTTTCAATCCATTTCAAGTGAGAACATCTACCCATACCTATGATGATTTCAAAACTTCTTTTAAATTTCCTCTTTGCCTTTTCGTCTCCACTGAAAACAGTCCCACCTTCTCCAATCTTTCCTAATAACTAAAGTTTCTCATCCTTTAGAACCATTCTGTTAAAACTCTTATGCACCCTGTCTTCAATGCATTCACATTCTTTCTAAAGTATGAACTGCACACAGTCCTCCAGCTGAGATCTAACTAATGTCTTATATGAATCCAACATAATCTCTTTACACTTGTACTCTATGTCCCTATTAATGAAGGCTAGATAAGTGTATAAGGTGTTGAGCTGGATGAACACAGTAGCCCAGGCAGCATCAGAGGAGCAGGAAAGCTGATGTTTTGGCAGTTCCTACTATCTCTAGAATACTGTATACTTTGCTTGCAACTTCCTCTACCTGTCCTGCCATGTATAATGACATATTTACACATACACCCAGGTTTCTCTGTTTCTGCACAGCCTTTAGAATGGTACTCTTTATTGTATGATGTCTGTCCGTGTTGTTTGTACCAAAATGCATCACATTTTTCATCTTTGAACTTCACCTACCACCTGTCTGACCATCCCACCAATTAATCCATATCCTTTTGGAGTTTGGCACACTCTCCTCCTGGCAGGTTACAATGCTCCCAAGTTTTGTTATCCCCAAACTTTGAAGTTGTCCAGTGCTCACCAATGTTTGGATTTTTTTTTTATTGGAACAACTTCTCTAGTACATTGGTTAACAATCAGAGTTGACTTGCCCAGCAATCAGCACCATTTGCACTTGTAATAATTGGTGCTTGCTGAGATATTAGGCATTTCTTGCATATGTGTTGATGAGAGTAAGACGAAAAATTTCAACTGTGTGACTTTTTTTATTAGCAATGTTATTGTGAGCAGCCAAAGAAGTAAACTTACTGCTTGCTAATCAGTACATTTTTAGTGTTGCTTTTGTTTTTGAAAAAAAGATATTCAATGGCTCTTGGTGGGCCAGTGAGGAAACATCATGTGGTGTGAGCTAAGAAATAGGAGCAGCAGTCGTCTTTTCATCTCTCAAACTTGCTCCCACTTTTAATAAGATCATGGCTGATCTGATTGTGCCTTTGACTCACTTTATTGTTCCCCCTCCCACCCCTTCATAACCCATCACTCCCTTCTAGACTAAAAATCTGTCTGATCAATATTCTAGTGATTTCTGCGGTAATAAATTTCAAAGACGAATGACCTTCTGAGAAGCCAAAATTCCTCCTCATCTACATCTTAAATAAGACACCCTTATTTTTAACCATGCCCCTTAATTCTAGATTCGCCATGAGGAAACATTCTCTCTGTATTGACCCTGACAGGTTGCTTCAAAATCATATGTTTCAACTTTCATTCTTCTAAATTCCAGTGCACTTCAAGGAGGGAGATGAGAACGTTTTCCTGCAATGGTATGCTTCCTTGGAAGTCTGTTCCTCAGAAGGAGGAAGAGGAGGGCATCGTTTGAATAATTTTAAGGCAGAGTTGGATTGATTCCCTTGGTTAAAAAAATCGATGGTCAAAGGACAGGAATATGGAATTCAAAATATAAACACATCAGCTGTGGTCTTATTGAACGATAAAGTTCTTCAAGGAGCCAATGGCCTACTTCAGCTCCTAATTTGTATGTTTGTATTTTTATACATTCCGCTGCACAGACCCAACCTGCTCAACCTTTCCTCATAAACCAATCCCTTCATTTCAAAGATCAGCCTGGTGGATCTTCTACGAACAGCCTACAATATTGATAAA